CTCGAGTCTCTTTCTCTATCTAAAAGTTTTTCTAATTGCAAAATTGCTTCAGATCCAACATTGTTCAAATGGTTGTTTGCAATAGTATCAACTACATCAGTTTGTTTTCTCTTACCACCGGTTCGACAAAGTTGATAATCACCATTGTAGGTAAAACCTACAAATGGTAGGTGGTTGCCAACAAAAGCTTTTGGAACGGGAAAAGATTCATCCAGTGCATCAGATTTTTCGATGTCATCAAAATTTCGAGTATCATCATCACTTGATAGTTCTGGGACAACTGGTGGCACTGAATCTCTTAAATTCTCGAAACTCCATTGGTCGTTAATAAAGAATGGATGCTGTTTAATTTCATCTACACTATTTTTCCCCAATCTTCTAGTTCGATCTGTTAGCAATCCTCTAATTAGTGACTTCGCGTCTTTCGAAATTTCTACATCATCAGGGAATTGTAAAGAGTTCCTGTGATCCATAATTTTTCCATATGTACCTACTAAACTATCGGCATAAAATGGAGGATCACCTATTAACATTTCATATAAAAATATACCAACAGCCCACCAATCACACTCGCGCCCATAAACCCCTTCTCCATTCTGAGACTGTAACACCTCAGGTGAAATGTAATCAGGTGTACCCACTGCATTACTGGCACGCACCAACCCATCATGGCCCATTCGCATGCAAGTACCAAAATCTGCTAACTTCAGATGGCCATATTTATCAATTAACATATTATCAGGTTTTACATCTCTATGTACAAAACCCATACCATGAATTACGTCTAAAGCCAGAACTATTTCCATTGTATAGAACTTTGCCCATTTCTCTGGTATATCAAAATTAGACATTAAGCTAACAAGATCACCACCGGGCATATAATCCATCACCATATATAAATATTTTTGATCTTGGAACGCAAAGTGAAGTTTGAGGATCCACTCTGAATTGGCATGCGCCATTATGTGTCGTTCCTCCCAAAAGAATGTGGAATCGGACCTCTTAATCATTTCCACTTTACTCAGAAGTTTCATAGCATAAACTTGCCGTGTGGACTTTTGTCTGACTAGCTGAACTTCACCGAATGCTCCTCGACCTATCACTTTTATTAAATCAAAGTCGGCTGCTTTCATACGCAGATTAACTATGTCTGATGCAAACTCTTCATCTAAAACAAACAAAAAATTATTCAAATGTACAATTATGTTTTAAACCAGTTATCAGGGAACAGATGAAATGAAGGCAGCTAATAAAACATTTTAAACTATGTGCCAAAAATGATATATTTTAATAGGAACATATCGTCAAACAAGAATAGCTGCAACAGTGAGAGCACAGTTGGTTCTATCAGAAATATATAGTCAACCACTGCTATTTGAACTGCTAAGAGGCCCTTCCATCACAATTACTTCTATCAGAATATATACAAAATGTGCATAGACATAGAAAATTACTTGAAAAAAGAAAAAATAACATTCCAGCTACAGTACAAAGAGGATGTTGACATTAACAGGGGGTGCTAGCGATTTGTCATAATTTGGTTAGACTTGTGCCCATTGTGTCAGATCTTCTTCTTCTAGAAGATAGTGTTAGATAGTCAGTCCATGTTTAGAAATTATATGTAATAACAAAAAAGATTAACATTTGATTATATACATTAATCAAAAAGAAACTAAACAACTCTGTACTTGAACAACTGAAATTAAAAATATATTTTCATCGGGTTGACAATTCACAATATATTTGAAATTTGTGGAGAGTAGTATTCCTACCAGTTAGAAATTAATAAACATGCATACATACTTGTCATAACAAATGCATTATTTAATTACGAGGTCAATGGTCATATGTACTACATAGATAACAAACATGATTTGTACCTTTCTTAAATGACACTGTTTCTCATTAGTACTAATAATTAGTTATAATAAAAACAATTAATTTGTACAGATAATAGATAAGATGGAACATACTCAAATGTATTTAATAAAAAGTCTATCAACAAATGGTACTATTATATATCTTACTAATATTATAAATGCAAATGTGTGCATGGATAGATGGATACTTGTTTTAAGGTATCTCCAGAAAAGCTGCATGGATCTCGCTGAAATTTGGCATTGATGTAGAACATAGTCTGGAATAACACATAAGCTACTAAGTTGTTTAATACTATGTGTGGAAGGAGTCACAGGCAACAGCTAGTATGTCATAATAACATAAATTACATTGCTGTTTCACATTTTTTGATTTTCTGTGAAGAATAATCTCGAACAATTGTTCAGTAGCTATCAGCAGTATAAAAGTGGAATGAATTACTCTGTGAATTTAATGTTAAAAAAGGGTCTTGATAGACAGATGGACAGACAACAAAGTGATCCTATAAGGGTTCCGTTTTTTTCCTATGAGTTACGGAACCCTAAAAAGTATGTAACATTTAATTTTTTGCTCCTTTTAATGGTAAATTAGCTAAAACCAATGTGTATTTTTGTGCTAGTCACACCTCTATAAGATACTAAATGCTGTGTGCATGCAAAATTTCTTTTATAAAGGAATAATCTTTTTTTCTCAGATTTCATCAAAATCTGTCTGGTTATACACATAGGAAACATTCTACAATTGTTTTGCCTAATTTTGAAAATAGTTTATCTTTCTTTATAAAATGTAAGTAAACTATTACTCATGCAAATTACATCTTTACACGTCTTGAATAGTTTAGATAATAAATATAAAAAAATCTTTAATCATTAACATATTTACTTGTTAATTGTTATAAACATAAATAAAGAGATAAGATTACACATGCATTATCATATCGTACTAAAATATATGCATTAGATTATTATGAGTTGCTGCATGAGTTGGGGAAAAATATTGTTCTTGTGAAAATTTTTACCAAGATTTATATAGGCTAAAATATCATAATAGAATCCACAGTTTGCGTCTCATACTTACATCTACTGGTGTACGCCTCGACATTTTTCATGCGTCGGATAGCTGGATGATCGCAGTCGGCGACGAGTGCGGTCACTGTGTCGAGCAAGCTATCCACGTTGCCGGTGGACTGAGGGTCGCATAGTAATTCCTCTAACGCACACAGCCGCCTCCAACGATCCTCATCCTTTACCGCTTCCATTCTGAATCCAATTTTTGATCTTCTCTGACACTAAACGCCACCACACATTCTCCTGATTAGCACCCCGATTGGAAACACCACTCTCATCACGATACATCAACAAATAGTAATGTTTTATTAACCTACACTTTTGCAACGTTAATAGCCTAAAGTTAGACGGGTAACTTATGTTTCATTATCAAAAAATTTACTTGTTAAAGCTTAAAATGACAGGAGATAAAGGTGGTTCTCACAACAAAGCATATGCACGTTTGCAAACATAGTTGATAATATGGAACAATAACAATGATCCGTGCAGTGTTAATTTAACACTGGTGTAAAAACAATTTAATTAAGAACACAACATTGAAGGATAATGTTAAATAAAGCTAAATTATAAACCGCTTGATTGACGAACGATGATCGAACAATAACGTGAAGATAGGAACATATTGCAAGTTACTGGAAGAGGAGTGGAGGTGGAGTTTGTACTTACAATGGCGTTTTTAAAAATATATTTAAATGTTTATGGTTGTCATTTTGTTCACGGTAATATTCTTAGTCTATGATAGGTTTTGTTTCCTCTTTAACCAAAGAGTATATAAAATGTCAGTATATAAAATGTCTTTAACTGTCTTTAACCTTAGTTTTGAATAAGGCATCCATTTCTGCCTTTGTGCCATCTTAGAATAGGTGATTGATTGGAAATGTCAGCTTTTGCTACGTTCCGATTTAAACGCGCCTGTTTATGTTATGTAACAGTTAATTTTATCTATATTATTACTTCGAATCCACGCCATTACTTCAATTTGCATAGAAAGGGAAAATATCTTCTTTCTGTGCATCCTCTCCACCGTCGATTAAAGGTAGGCAACGCATATGCAATTGCGTGTATGTATGGGCAACGATCACTTCGCTATTTCAGCGATTTCAGGTGGTCGCTCGCTCGTTTGCCACCTTATGATAAAAAAAATACCATCAGCGCCAAAATGGCGTAAATCAAATAGACACAAAATACTACGTATTATAGGCAGTCCATTTATAGAGGTCAGTGCTTGTGCTTTTTAAACTACAGATTAGAATTAAAATTTAATCAAGAAAATCTTTGAGTCTTGCTTTTAAATGGCTTTAGATGGATCTGTCGTGCACACACGCCTCTACAAACAAATTTAAATTATAAACGCGTAAAAAATAAGTTGTACTTTGGCTTGCTTATCTTGTACATGAAAATTTTGAGTCAGTATGCGTTCTTAAATATGTTAGTGTCAGCATGATATGCCTGCAAAAATTGGCATTATTTATGTAGAATAATGGCAGCGCTCACATTTTAGTTTAACCTAGCCTGACAAGATATACAAAATATGTACGAGGTCGCCACTGGCGCTATATGCGCAAAACACAACACGTGTAACAATCTTATGTCATTTAATAACTCAAGTCAAGTCAAAAAAAAAGATTAAATCATTCCTTGCTCCGAGGATGTAACTTTTTTGTTTTAACACCTCCATTTTAATAAATACAAAAATTACGCAATTATTATGTTTATTTAGTTTAATAATTCGACGACAACAACAATACGACAATCAACAATTTTTGTCATATGCTTTTGCAGCCTTATTTTTTCGTTCATTAACGACGCCTGTTTATTATCCTTGTTAGTATATATTCAAAATTTATAATTTTCATAGAACTTGTGGACATACACTTATCTGAAATAAAATCCTTTAAATACTTAAATATTTAAATTTTATGAATTTATCGAAAAACCGATAAAACACTACCTACTCTGGGATTTGAATGAAATAATTGTTCGATGTTCAGATTAGAGATTAGTTAGTCTTTGAATGAGACAGACTGAGCAGATTTGTAATTCTCATTCTTATTCGTTCAGACAGAACATGGCGGTGCTAGACAGGATGTGCATAAGCTCTTAAATTTTTGCGTTAACAAATAGCAATATTTGGTGGGTTTCTACGTTTAACTGAAAGATTAATTCAGTGTCTTTTACATTGTTAAATAAAGTGTGAATTAAAATATTTTATTTATTATCGTCTTTATGGACCAATTTGCAATGAAAATCATTACTTCATTGGTGGTGTAAAAATAATTGTGACAAATATAGCACATTATTTCAGGTAAATCTGTTGTTTCAATAACTACTATTAATACCTAAACACTATCTTTCCCTTTACTATTTTATAACATCATTTACCAAGTGATAGGGCTGATCTCAACTTACGTTCCATTTTATCAAGTATTCTCGTGTTATTTTTGTAGTAAATTTTGATACATCTAAATTTTTTTCATGTTCTATTGAATTATTACCCTTGAAGATATTTCACATGTATGTGTATTTCTAATTTATTCGTGCACAAGTAGTCCTTTGTGCTTTTCAATCACGTGTGGATTGATCGTTATTGTGGGGTCAATAACTGCTCGCTACAACCTATTTCAGTATTAATCATACAATAGAGGTCGAAAGGGTGGATCTATCTTGAGTGAGCTTCCGTTAATTTTAACTTATTTTAGGTTGTTGATATACTAACGGCTAATAGTATCATAGAAGTTTCGGTTTGCGTTTTACAAACGACCATCGTCATATATGTTAGTTTATGTCAAACATCATTAAAATGTTGACTAATGAATGAAATCTGGAGGCTGTTTAAAGAAAATAAGATCATGGGGCTGGGGCTGATGCATTGGGGTTTGGGGCGCTGCGTGCGCGACAGTGGCGACAGATGGTGGGGGCGGAGCGACGGCCAGTCAGCTGTGCGAGTGTCAAGTTGTCGCTCCGCGCCGCACCGCGCTGCGCCGCGTCGTGGGAAGTAGCCTAAATTATTGCCCCTCCATTGAATCTTCGCGAAATTTGGCTCTATGGAGAGTAATGACCCAGATTTTAGAACCATTGCAGATTTTTAGTTATTGCTATTGCCAAACTAACCAGTAACAATGACATTTCTATTACTTTTTTGTCAAAAGTCTATGTAGTCTTTTGTTCTTACTTTAATGTCATTTTATCTTAACACAGCCAATACAATATTTTGACAATAATCAATAGGTTTTATCCTTGAGTGTTGTTACAGATTAATTTTGATAAATAAAAAGGATATTCTTTACATGCCACAATTTATCAATAGAATGCTGTAAATTGGTGTAACCTGAATCAATGGTAGGTAAATTTCACTTTTGTTCTCCCCTTTGTTTAATCCTTATTTAAGTAGCAAAAAAGTACCTGGAAATTAAAGTGTTAAATATTTGTATCTCCTAAAAATGTGGAATGATTAGTTGAATTAAGATGTTTTTGAGATAATATAACACTAATGAGAATTTCAATTTTTGCTTTTACAATGTTACTAGAAATTCTTTTAGGTTAACTTAAGAGCTGCAAATTTTTACTTAATTTGTGTAAGAACTTTTTTGGGGATAGATAGTATTTTATATATTTTATTTAAGTGAGAAAGTTTATTAAAAAAAAATTGTGATAAATATGTAGGGTTATGTAAGAAGTGAAGTCATGTAAAACATTTCATTGTGAGGTGTGTTTGGTATTTGCCATTGTTGTGCAATCAACAGTTTTCAATAAAGTTCCCTTTATAGCCGCAGCCAACTGCACTGATAACCAACATGGTTTAATCACTATTTGATTAACATTGCATGAATCAATTCCTTCTTGTAAACATTTTTAGTATATAAGAATTATTGATTTTCTAAAATACATTAGACCAGAGATGTTGTTATTTCTATAAAACTTAAAAATATCTTTATGTTAGAGAGGCAAAGCTGTTTAAATGTAATTTTATTACATTATTTTCTTTAGTTTCGAGTATAATACTATGTATATATGAAATATTGACTTAACAAGCGCTTCTTAATTTATCTGTTGGCTACATAATTATATTCAGCACCACAGATAACTATGTTATTTTTACGTATTGGGAATTTATAATCTTGTAGCATTCTAAAACAAATTCTATACATTATCTTTAGATGAAAATTGAGTTACTATCAAGATTAGAAATCTCATTGAGTCCTTGTTCGGGTTATCTTTATCAATTTTTCTATTGACACAAAAATCTGTGTACTTTTTATGACAGATATTATAGTCATAGAATGTCTAACCTTAATTCATTGATATACTACTTCTTTGTTTGTTACTTTGGTTTGGTATTAAATTTACTCAACATCATTCAACATTGGCTTTGACAAAAACTTGCCTATAAGGCAAAGTAACTTATATTTTTCTATACACTAGTAGAATTTTTTGCAAGTGTATATAAAAAATATATGGTTAAGCTACCTGAAATAAACTAGGAAGTGTAATCATGTAAAAGTTTCACCGAAGCATAATAAAATCTGATGTTTTTAATGTAATAAGGAATGTATGATTTGTAATATTCTTATCTCAAATATTTGCACAATTTCAGCAAGCCGTGGGGGACATGGCTACGCTTATCCAAGAAAACGGTATCAAGGAGTTGAGCAAAGGCACACACGGGGTTGTGACAAACCATGGCATATCAGCTCATAGCGTCGCCAGTCACATGGTGCCCGACCATGAGTACTGCGAAACAGCAAAGCCCCAGGAACCTCAGCAGCCCTGCGTCACCTCTGGCGAAGAGGTGCCGATGGAGGCCACGGCCGAAGACGAGGAGGAAACTCCGGAAATAGACATCTTGATAAACAATGTTGTGTGCAGTTTTAGTGTTAAGTGCCACCTGAATTTGAGACAAATAGCATTGAATGGTGTTAACGTAGAATTTCGACGCGAGAACGGAATGGTGACGATGAAACTAAGGCGGCCGTATACGACGGCGTCTATCTGGTCGTCGGGGCGTGTGACATGTACCGGTGCCACTAGCGAAGACCAGGCAAAGGTTGCAGCGCGCCGATATGCGCGTGCGCTTCAGAAGCTCGGTTTCCAGGTCCGCTTCCAGAACTTCCGCGTCGTCAACGTCCTTGGCACCTGCCGCATGCCCTTCGGAATACGGATCATATCCTTCTCTAAGAAATATAAGGAAGCTGAGTGAGTATGACATTCTTTTTATCACAATAATATACATACATACTAATATACTGAGATAAAATCATAATCATTGTTTACAGTATTTTAAAATAATTTGTGATACTGTATCATCATCTATATATGTGGCAGTGAATGACACTTAGCAATTGTAATATCAAATAGATTAATGCTATTTAAAAATATGTATATAAAGTTCATTTACCTTTGAAATATCTTCTCTTAGCTTTTTTATATTAAGTTCACTTGAGAAGTCAATATGCTACATTTTTGTGTAATCCTAAATGATGATACTGTTTCAATCTTTGCATGTAATTATCATTAAGGTCAATATAATTTGAATGCAAAAGCAAACAAACTTCGGTACTACAAAATAGCACCAGTACATAGGTCATTCATTGATTTCATCCTATTTACATTTTTTTCATGTTATTTACCATTTCGTATTATTCATAGTATTATGTTAAATCTATCACTAACTGTCGCCCTCGACTCCGTTCGCGTAGAATTAGAATAAACTAAAAGAGTAGCAAGTATGTTCTTCCAGGCTAAATTAAATCTGACTAATGTTCTACATCTATGCCAAATTTCATCGAGATTCATGCAGCAGTTCTGGAGATATGTTCTCAAACATCATTATATTCAATATTATATTCAAATATTAGTATCATTAATTCTTGGGTGTCCAAATGCAAAGTTTTGAAAGGATTTCTACGTATAATTTCCGTCATTCGTATGACGATTATAAAAATTTCATCCAAGTACTATGTCATAATTGAGATTCTGTTTAGTCAAAGAAGATGCTACACATGTTACGTAAGGGCGTATAAAGTCGGTCGTCGCGACGCCACTCCGTCTATGATTGCGGTCGCAGCCTCTTTCTACTATTTTATTATACGCGATCCAATCTTATACAATTGGATTTCTATTTTCGTATACATTTGCGATTTATTGATTTAACATAATAGTTAACGTAATGTTTGAGCTAAAGTTTAAATTATAAGACATTTGAATATACTTGTTACTGATTTAGAATCATTATTAGGGTTCCGTACCTCATAGGAAAAAAGGGAACCCTTATAGGATTACTTTGTTGTCCGTCCGTCCGTCTGTCAAGATCCTTTTTTAAACATGAAATAGTTTGAACAAGTCTTAAGTTACTAATATTATAAATCGAAAGTTTAGACATAATTGTTTATGGCCTAAATATAGAACATATTCTTAAAAAACAAATAGGCTACTTGTTAAGTATTTGTAATAAGCAAGTTTAGTTATATCCTGAGTTATGCCTCTAGATTACGGCTTACACAGTCACCAAAATGTTGTTACTACTGGAAATTTTTTACTTGCTTAAAACAACCACTAACTTAGTACTCAATATGAGGAGGTTGACATTTCCAATTTGTCAACTTACTAAAAATTTTTTATACATTATAATAAGACGATAATACAAATGACAAACTATTCTCTTACATCACCCGAATGAGTTTTACACAATGGTAATAAAAATTAGTCCATCATATTTCGGTCAATTGACTCTAATTGGGTTACTCTGATATGTTTTTAGTCAAATTTCTGTAACTCTAGACATAATTAAAGAAAAGTTGTCGTCGTTTTTTGCACTTAATCACGATTTGCATGGAGTAAAAACATGTTAATAATTTTAGTTACAGATTTTTTTACACATTTGACTTAAAACTAGAAATTAATTAGTTAAGTATTTCGAAATTTTAAGGCGCATCGATCTTTGTGGAAAGTGGGATAAGTGTCATAAATTCATATTTATGACTTGTCTCATTATTCATTTATATAACATATAACTTTTGACTCTACTCGGTCGACTCTATTCGGTTACAAAAACAAAGACTAAACGTGTGTTTCTGAGACCAAAATGTACCTAATTTAGTCCTCTTTCCTTTCCCACCCTTTTCTTTATAAGGAAAGGATGGGAAGTAGAAGTGGACTTTCCGGATGAGAGGATACATGGAAAGGGAAGATATTTTATTTCTGTGCATCCTCTCCTCCGTCGATTAAAGGTAGGCGCAACGCATATGCAATTGCGTATGTCTATGGGCAACGGTCACTTCGCTATTTCAGCGATTTCAGATGGCCTCTTGCTCGTTTGCCACCTTTTGATTAAAAAAAAAAGAAAAGATTCGTTAGAACAAGATCAATCATAGCACTAGTTGTGAACCTGTCACCTATACTATGTTATCTAGAATGAGTCATAAGTCTGTCCCTCAGAATATACACAAGTATTGTTTGATATTGTGGTTTTATTTCGTGTGCGATTAGCTGCTAGATACAATGGTTGTACATGACAATTGACCGATAGATATTCAATTGATTTCGTCGTTCTTTCGTTTGCAGTACATCACGGCTAATGTCCGTAAATAGGATAGAAATCTAGACATATAGATATTGTAAAGACATATCCTAAATTAGTACGTGGTACTTTAGTTCAATTACTTAGGTCAACTTTTATAGCAATAAGTTGTTTGTGTTTTTCATTGATTCAATTACCGTGGGTTTCGGAGCACAAAATCCCATTTTAAACATATTGTTATCTCTGTTTTGTCAAATATAATGACAGGGATGACGATATATTTCATATAAAGATATTGGTCTCAGCAACCAATGGTAAGTCATAAAACTGATAGAACAGTAATATATTTTGTTAATTATATATTTTTCGGGGAATCGAACTATACAACCTCGGTACATGCATACTTGTGTTTATCATTGTCACGTTTCCGTTTTCTTGCGCGTTTTCGTAACAATTTTTCATTATAAAGTGTTTTTAAAAGATGTAAGGTATAAAAATAGAACGCTCTTATCGTGCGTCTAGTTAAAAAAATTCCATAGTCGTTTCCCCAATGATTTCTCAAGGTAATTTTGTCTGGCTTCTTCAAACTTTGTTTTGAAATTCTGTAACTATGTAAAAGTTTGTTACAAGTACTTCGTGATACCTACCATAGCTTAATTAAAAAACTTGCTTGCTCGTTCACAGGGGCAGAGTGAAATAAATCTTACTATATATAATGCAAATGTTTAGATGGATGGATGGATGTTTGTTAGAAGGTATCTTCAGAACGGCTTAACGGATCTCGCAGAAATTTGGCATACACATAGAATTTTCTTTTTTAAATCCGCGCGGACGGAGTCTGGCCACAGCTAGTTTCGTTATAACGTAATAGAAACAAATTAAATTTAATCAAATTCGTCCTATGGCAGACAAGTTAAAGACATTTTGCTTATATTATTATATAAACAACGTCCCGTAACATTATTAATAGCTAGTTTCATATAAAAGGAAAATATATAGCGATAACAGATTCCTAGATTAATCTGCTTCACTTTTCAATCAAAAATATATGATTAAAATGTTTCTATTGTCTATCACTATTTATTTTCCCTTAGTACTGACCTTTTTATACGTAGGTCAATAGTTCAAAGCTAAACATTTTTTCGCGAAACTTCTGTTTGCCACGTTGTTGTTTTCTCGAATATATCTGGCTATTAGAAAAGTTCAACAGCCAGACTGGTGCGTAGTTCGTAAATGATGACCGGCCAAGGTGCCCCGTCCCCGCGGTGCAGTGGCCCCTCACGAAACGATTTTAAATTGCAACGACGTATTTTTATCGACGGAAGATGTTCTCTCTTTTTTTTAATCTACAGTTGGCTGACAATATCATTAAAATATTTAAAAAATGTATGATGCAAGAGTGAGCGTAAAGAGTTTTAATTACGTTCATGGAATAAGGCAAATGCTTTTGTCTTTTCACTTTGCTTTTGCTAAAGTGTTTTAATTAAAAATTACTTCAATTCTCAATTCTTCAATATACATCCGAAAGTTCTGATGAATGGATGGATGGATGATCGTTACAAGGTAACTCCAAAACGGCTCATCAGATCTGGCTACTTATAATTTTTTTCAATTCCGCCCGAACGTAGTCACGGGCGACAGCTATTCAATTATAATTAAAAGATTAATAAAAGGATTTCCGTGCGTTAGGATTAGCATAGTGTAAGTATATGGAATGTAATAGATAAGAGAGGTGGGTCAGGAGCGTGAAAAATAGTAAATCTTAGCCTCGCCTTTCTTGCTACTGTCGAGAGAGCGTTATCTATTATTTTTAAGATATTTGATATCATACGGATATTGGGATCCATTCATCGTGACAGTATCTGCACGGCGCTTACTACGTAGCATATCTTTAAATGCGTTCCTAAGTGAATCAGATACTTACCTCTTATTATGAAATACTAGGCGAATACAGCGTATGCGTTGCAATGCCAAAGTGACATAAAATCAAGTAAATAATCAAAATTTGGTATGCAATGTCTAGGACAAACATAAATTATGATTAAAACTGAAAATCATAAAAATATATTGTTATACTATTTTTAGGGCATAAGCCTTTGATAGCTAACATTATTTTATCAAAATCTGTCCAATGGTTTATAAACACAGATTTCAAGCAAACATATGCAATGTTTATAACTATTACACAGGCGAAAATTAATGTATAGATATGTATAGAGATAGGATCCTATAGGAGTTAATTGAAATAAATTCCAGCTTGTTACCTTCACGTGTTTTTGAGAAAAAGTGTCTTGACAGACAGACGGACGGACAACAAAGTGATCCTATAAGGGTTCCGTTTTTCTCCTATGAGGTACGGAACCCTAAAAATGGGTCAGTGTCAGGTGAGAGCATTTTTCAGCTTTACGCTAACATTTTTCAGCATTTATCCCGTACTGCGTGTTATTTCTCCTGTTCCAATGACTATGGTACGACTATTTATAACTCAAGAATTGACGTTTAATTTTTGTGAAGGGCACATGCTGTGGACAGGTTAAGAGATAGGTTAGGTTTGGATAAGACTTAAAATTATCTAGAGCTGTTTAGTCTTAGTCTGAAACTACATATAAGGTTGGAATACAGTATATCTCTGTACAGCAGGATCCTAGGGGCATGTGACACACGAAAACTAGGTTAGATTCGTTATTCAATATAAGACCCCACACTCTGTACAGCGAGGGTACACCGTCTAGATTATCAAATTGGTTCAACAATCTAGCAATTTGATAAACCAGTGCTAACTGATTTGACTAGTTTTAAACAACGTATCTACGGGTTCCTTTGGTGTCCCGCACCGACCAGCTGATCGTCTGCACGCTTTTAAAAAAAAGACACTGACCTAGGTCATTCTAATTCCCGCATATTTTCCTTAACATGTATACGAATAGATTATTTTTATTGCTTTAGCTGTTATAATTAAGATGAGACTATACATCGTAAGAAGATCTTATGAGAGATGTCTTTTAACTTTTTGCCGGATGGGTTGATATTGTAGCGAATCGATTACATTTTTGGCTTGCTAATACGTACTATATTAGAGTATTATAGATGTTAATTTTTCCATAAGGTCGTAAGCGACTATCGTATTTTGTTCAAGGGCGAAATTTTATCTTAAGGTCCAATAAGGCACGATTTTGATACTATATGTTGCTTACCATATTTATCAAATATTTTTAATATCATGTCTTAGTAAACAAAACACGAGTGTTCAAAAAAAATTACCGCTTTTTAGCCGACTTCAAAAAAGAGGAGGTTCTTATGTCGTCTATTTTTTTGCTGTCAAATTATTAAGAATTAATTCGAAATTAGCATAAAGACTTAAGAAATGCGTAGAGTTACATACAGTTTGAAACGTAAAAAAAACTACTGTTATTCTCTGCATTAATTTAAATTCGTCCATTGATAAGCATTTCGGAACTGGTTTGTTTGCGCCTACTTTCTTCAATCTCCTAAAGCGTTGGCGTTTCTCATTACAGCTACGAGCCGGAGTTGCATCCAGGCGTTACGTACAAACTTTACAATCCTAAAGCCACATTGAAGATCTTCTCCACGGGTGGTGTCACCATAACAGGTTGGTTCTACAATGAATAATTACATTTAATTCTCATTTTGCAGGCTGAGTCCAAAGTCTCTTTTTCTTGTTGAAGGTTCTGGTTGGTTTCAAATTTAGTTTTTACTGGTTAATTTCGGTTAAAATTCGAACTAAGAACTGCAGTTTAATATGGAATTTTCAAAAGATACCCTGTCTACTGGTGTTACGTATGACTTGACACGCTAAAATCCCATCGGCGGTCATCCTCTGCTGCAATTGGAGAGTGTCACGTGACTTGATGTGGATACTCCTGGAATTTATTCATTAAAGTTGACATGTATAACCAATGAGCTAATGCATTTAGATTGCAAGTTTTATCGATAATTTTATACAATGAAAAATGAATCATTCATATTTAGATTATTTTTTTTTATTCATTTTCGATCACACATTTATGATACCCTAGTATTCCAGATTAGTTAGCTTTGGATTATTTTTAAATCCTTATTGTTTCGTCCATATCTCCTATGACGCTTTGTTTAAAGCTAGTAAAAACTTGCATGTTATCGTTTTATAAAACGTTCGCCTATTTGTGTTAGCATTTGTATAAATGATGTCAAAGTGTCACTTCCTGGATCCTGACACACACTTCCGGGCACACAGTTGGCTGCTTCCGATTAAATTACGATTGCTTTAGATAGCTGTGTAGGGATACATAGATGTTTAGTCAACTGGATGAGATTAAAATGCAAGAAATAAAATTGTGGGTGTAGTGACATATTTTATTACGCCTTTGTCTTCATAGTACATTTGGTAAAGAGAAATATATTTTTTTTAAGGATTCTAATATAATTCAAGTAAGTTTAGTGTGGTAACAGATGTAGAGTACTTTATGACAATAGGTAATGTTTTGTTCTTAATCAGTCTTTTTATAAAGTTACATTAAAATTTAAAAGAAAACTTCAAAATACTAAACTCGATATAATTTATTGTGATATCACTTAACTTCTCCATATTTGGATCGATGTACCGAAACATGCAAAGGTCATCGCCTCAGTAGTCTATCTGCTGATGATTCACGCCACTAAATAGTCGAAACGCTATTGCGATTCATCTGCAAAACAGATCTTTAAATAACGAAATAAGAGACCCAGTCAATAATGCAATTTGAGTATTACAGGAATATATATATTTTACTAGCATTTTAAATGGGTAGGTTTACAAGCAGTATGGGGTTGTAATAACAGAAATTTACCTTTACCTTTGGACAAATTTACTTATTATAGTATTGAGGTTTTCAAATAATTTGGTGGCTCGGTATATCGGACGAGTCGCTGCGCAGAATTCCATTTTAAGTGTACTGGAGCGTGAAGGGATGCAGGTTGATTTGAACAGTGCGAAGTTGACCTCGCCACTTAAAGACTGAAACGACCCACATGAGTCAACTAAAAACATTGTTTGTCGTTGAATAATTCACATGTGAATAAAATTGAATAAGTTTGTTGTTTGTGTTTTCAGCCCGGAGCGTGAGCGATGTGCAGTCTGCTGTGGAGCGCATCTTCCCGCTGGTGTACGAGTTCCGCAAGCTGCGCACTCCCGCAGACGAGGAGCTGCTGCGACAGCGGCGCGCGCGTCACGCCCCGCCACCCCCGCCGCTCGCTACCGACCTGCGCCTCGTCACGCTCTCCGACGACGAGGACAATGCCGCAGCGCCCCACGCCAACGCCAACGCCAACGCCGACGCCCACGTCGATGCCGACGCCGACGCCTGGGAATGACGACGCCGACGCGCGACCGCGTCTCCGTCGTCGGCGAACTTTCCGGTTCATGCCAAAGATATTTATTAGAGGTGCTTCGCGCTTGTCCCGCGCGAAACGCGCTCGCGCTTCGATCGACGAGTGTATCCTATTGTGGGCGCGGCCACGCCCCCCGCCCCCCGCACCCGGCACGTAGGCGACGTACGCTCGCTCTGGAAACGTCTACCGCTTCAGGTTTCATATAAAATCGATTATAATGATTATAGAAAACCCACCGAATTGAATTCGGTTTGCAGAATTTTATCACTTTTGACAATAATTCGTGCAGTTCGCGAATAGTGTGCTTGTATAAGAGTTTGACGTAAACTATGTTGTTTTATAAGATGTATGTAATGTATCGTAGTGGGTTTCCACAGCGAGCACTATCGGGTGGGCGTGGGCGTGGGCGCGGACATGGGGCGTGGTCGTGTGTACGTTGTTGCGTCGCGTGGGCTCGTTCGTTATTGAATGTATAACGTCTGTTGAGAGCTAATCTCCGATACTGATACTCAATTCGTATTCATTTTTGCCGTTCGTTGCAGTTATGATTGAAATTGTAGTGATAATAGTGTTCACGATAAGTCTCGTTCTAAGAAAGTGATGACTGAATGATTAGTTAGTCCTTAGTGATTGTAAATAAAGCTTAGACATTATAAATTTGAATAAAAATACTTTTGTTTTATTATTCATTTATTACAATATAGAGTACAATCCAAAATTACATCAATTAAGGAGAAAAAAGTTATATAAATATATTATTGCTTAGTAGAATTTTCAAAAGAGTTAACGGTCAGTTTAATTCGCCGAAATAGAGAAGACGAAATGCGGTATGACTTCTACTTCACGTCTGTATTGTGTGTGGTCGTGGTATTCCACCGGTCGAGCCGGCTTCTACCACTTTCAACCTCCGTTAAATAAATACTTACGAAGTATAGGGGGCTCAATAGTTCTATGTAAGTAACAAAAAGCTCTATAAGTATTTGCTATGAGTCTGATTCGTGCGTGTCGTAATCGTCGCTGGTATGTCCTCGAGGACGCGCTCGCCGCAGTGCGTGCTTGGCTTGGAACCTGGAGCCGGTGAAGCTCGGCCGTGGCGGCGACGCTGGAGTGCGGATGTACGCGCTCATGTCTACCACGGACAGACGTGGCGTGCGCACCGCTGTGCCTGATGATACATACTTTGTAGCTTGTACGCAGATAAAGTTAGTTGTTTGACTCTGATCTACCAGACGTAATCAAGCTATGGGTCATAATCAAAATTCATGAAATCGTAAAGTCATAAATATTGTACTGCCTTTTGACTTCTGACGTGAGTATCTCACTTTAGTCTTAAATAACATACTCTTTATGGAATTCAAATCTGTGGCGATGTAATAAAAGAGTCTAATAACCAGTAATGATTGGGAGAACATTGTCTCCAAGAGGACGCTGCGGGCGTGCTCGCAGCACGGAGTGTCGTGCTGTGCGCGGCGGCAGCGCGCGGGCCGCGGGAGAGGTCTGCGGCAGAGGGGGAGACAACACGCGCGCCGCCAGCACGCGCCGCTCGGGGGACCAACTAACTGATCTGCAAATGTATTAAACTTGGTTAAATCAATAGTTAAACAAAGAAACAAAGCCATTTCGGTATAGACTGACGTACCTCTCGCGTTCATAGTGCGCACGTCTACGCCGGCGCCGGCTGCGAGTCTCGCGACGCTTGCTAGGCGCGCCGACCCGCGGCGGTACTATGCCTATATGGCGGTAGTAGTCGCACAGAGCTTTCACAACGCCTCTCCCTATCCTTGCATCTTTTTTACATTTAAAGAACTTATATTACTGATAGTTCTTATACACGAGTGTACTAAAAGACGAAAGAACTTGACTAGATGTAAGAAGCTTAAGAATATTCCTAATTCTTTTAATAAAAAAACAACTATAAAAGGATACAAGCATCTTCAGTATAGTGTATATAGGGCCCTGTGGGACTGAGCCGCCTGCCGGCCAGCGAGGCGGCGAGCGTGTAGGCATCGACGCCGGACGACGTCAGCGCGCGACGTGCACTCCCCGCCAGCGCTGGCTCCGCGTTGTACAAACATTGCTCCGCCTGCCATGCCTCCAGCCGCAGCGACAGGAACTTCGGCAGCACCGCGTGACGCTCGAACCTTTACCATCGTCACAGATTAACGAAAATAAAGGTGGACTTCCTCTTTGTCTCTTGTATTTCATTGATTAAGTACTCAAAAGGTAGTAGAAAAAAAATTAATAATAGGATAGCACCTGTACACGTCGTCATAAGAGTTGCCGCGTACGAAGATACCTTCATGACTAATGTCCGCGTGGATGTCGATTATGAAGTCCAACTGGAGCTTCTGTAGAGACAATTTAATAGAGCAATATAAAACAAAACAAGACAATATTTTCACTTCCACAAGCTTACTTTTTCACTGGTAATTTTCCGTATATGTTCTTTGACTGCGACGAGTTGTGGGTGCGCGAAGGTGGTAGCGCGGTGCCAGCTCCGGTTGGGGTCAGAGCCAAGGAGATCGGCGCGCTGGCTACCCAGGAACACGCCGTCAGGGTTCAACATGGGCACCACCTGCGTTCACACAAACAAAAACAGCTTTAAACTAAGCAAGATGAACCACCGAAGTTGATAATTTGTTTAACACTTTTTTTTATCAAAAATTCATCAATCATGACAAAGTATAGAAGAAGTTAAGAAGAACGTTCAAGGTAAAATAAAAGTCTTTACCTGAATTACTATATGATCCCTTATAGCAGACGCGTTCTCTGCAGAACTAATGATATAATCCAACAAACCTATAAAAAATGGTAAACGATGATTGGTAACATATTGAATATCCTAAAAAATATATTTGCAAATAACTATTAGGTACATGCAAACTACTTTAGATTTGAAACTCGTTTGAGCAATTGACTAACTACCTTGGCAGATGTATGACGCCGGCGGTTCCCCGCCGTGCGCTCGGGCAATCACAAGCACCACTCGCTTCTTCATGTCACTACTCTTTGTTTTTATCAAGTTTTCCTCCTTACTTTCCGATTCCTTTACATTTAAATCTCCAATAGTAATTAGATCAATTTGACGTTTTTGCTAAAAGACAACATATACAATACATAACAAGCAAATATACAAGTTCAAAAGAAAGGGGTTTCATCCTTTGGCTAGGTTTTTTTCATCACAAGAACATCACATCTATTTTAAAGGTTAAATAAAGTTAATTCCTTCAGAATTTCTAATTAATATTTCTTCAAGTTTATTTGCGTTACCGTTGATTGTGCGATTGTTTCTCTTGTAGCGAAGCTCTCCGCTTTTTTCTGCCACGTAGCTAAATATTTCTGGAGCCGCGAATAGGAGTACGGTGCCGCAGCAGCAAATTGATATACATCTTCTTCGCGATCGAATCCAAACGCCAGGCTGAGGATCTTGCGTCCTCGATGTACTAGTGATTTGTGATAGAATATAAGACGTCTAGGTATTCGCTGCCTGGGAATAACAACTAAATTAGACTCTCTTATTGCCGCACGAAGAGTAAATTGAGGGGTTTAGTTAAATAGTCGCTTCAGTAGATTTAAGATAAATACTATAATACGATTAGACGGTTAGAAAAGATAAATTTAAGGAGGTTAACATAAGGAATTTTTAGCGAAAGTGAGCTGAAGCGGTCGGGGTCGTACAAATCTGACTTATAATCTCCACATTCATCCAATACTAAAGAAAGGTGGTATAAAGAACACAAGAAACCGACGAGAAAAGAAGGTCCTAACTCACCATTTCTGCCGCGAAGTTGATCTAACCAGTGGTGTCATGTCTTTATCGTATAACGTAAATTCTTTGCCAAAATTAACAATATTAAAGATGACTCTCTGAAAATGATTATACACATATTATTGCTATACTGGCATAGGTCTTAAATTTATTTATATTGAGCTCGTAAGCTCATTGTCTATCATTTAGTTGTCGCGATTAATGAAATCAAATACCTGGTCCTGTTTAACATTTTCCACAGTAAAGTTGAACCAGAACCTGGCTCTAGGTCTGCAGGTGTCCGGTCTGATGTAGAGATCGTACTCTAGTTCTGTGATATGATCCGCTCTGCCCAGGTTACCGCACTCGAACGCTGCATCGAAGCACAGGTGACCGCGCTTCGCCTTACCGCTGTGTCCCGGCGGGCGGACTATCAAGCGGTTCAGATTCCCAAGACCGCCTTCTCCATCGCTTTCCTCGCTATCTATTTACAAAACAAAGGAAATAGATGATGATTTCTACCTAGAAACCTACTTATCACCTAATAAGATTCGAATTAAATGATTTTAAAATATATACAGGTAGTTTTAAAACGGTGATTCTAAAAGTGTCGAACGATGCCAGGAAAAAAGGAATGTAGTACCGGCACCAGTAAAATACTTAAAAGGGGCAATAAGGAAAAAGTTATATCTCTATTTTCAATTAACACTTGAGTATTTGAGTTGTGTGATTAGATTTATTGAGATATACAATGATTGAAAAATTAAAGTACAGTCTTGATTTCTTTTGTATATGGTTGTATGATCCAGGTCGTCAACCAAGGCTTCCATATTTCCGACTGATGTTGAAGGCGTGAGACTTAAGTTTAAAAATCAGTGTATGCAATATCGAGTAGATTGGACGATAAGCGATAAGTGCAGTAGCGTTACCTCAGGGAAATCGTTTACACAACACGCCATCCGTTCATTTTATATTGAGTCAATTGAAAGCTAAAACAATTCGCTTATACACAAACCATGTTTATATTTGAATTTTGAACAAACGGCATTGGAATCAGTAGCCATGTACTTATAGAATCTATTTTTAAACCTAAAATGTGAATTTAATTATTTTTTATCAGCAGTGTTTAGGTAAATATTTTGTAAAGATATGTTTTCAAAAGTATTTTCAATAACAAGTGTATTTGAAAAAATGCATGCATTAAAATGATATGTCTAGTTAGGTTATGTTTTTACATTTTTATAAGTTTAATGTTAGGTAAATTATTTAGTACCTATCGCATCACGAACGATAAACCTTCAATTCAAAAAAGTATATATAAACGTATCATATATTATTATATATAAAAGATAAAAATAAAGACACTACCAATTCTTGCATGAATGTAAATTATTGAAAGTGTGACTTAAAAATCTATTTTCACGTCGATATCTGATTGAAACTAACTTCAATGATATTGAATGTTTGATGAATTGTTGGAATCATTTTCAATCAATTCGTCAAAGTCACTGAAAATTGTTATTTGTTTTCTTAGCTACCGAATAGTTGCTTATAATAAATGTTCTATGCAGTTTTGTTGTTTTTACTTATTATGTAGTAAATCGTAATATTAAACCTCTGAATTGCTCATCTAGAATAATAAACGATTACATATGTTCTTGTCTACAATTTCGCAAATGCACTAACCATTGGCTTCTAAGATAAAAATCTTTATAAAACATATAGTACTTGTCATTATCTTTGAAAAACAGTTATAAAACATAAATTAACCGGGGATTATGGCCTCTTCTCTTGATTAAAGCGACCTAGTTATAAATATCAGGCGTTGAATATGTTAAAGTTATTGGTTGAGGCAAGTTGCGTGCAGTTCAAACGCATATCCGCCCGTTGCAATATCCGCGTGCGTAACTTGTGTCCGTTAACTATCACGATACCGGAAGTAGATAATGTATAACGTGCATATATGTATAAAACTATGTATAGATAAACCTTACCTTCAATATTTATTATTTAGTTTCGTTAGTATACATATGTATACAATATAAAATTAGTAATTGACTTAATTCGGTTTAATCTTACTAATATTATAAATGCGAATGTTTGGATGGTTGGATGAATTTTTGTTTGAAGGTATCTCCAGAACGGCTGAATGGATCTCGGTGAAATTTGGCGTTCTTATAGAACATTGCCTGGAAGAACACATAGACTTCTAATTATGTTTTTTTAATACCGCGCGGACGGAGTCGCGGGCGACAGCTAGTTACTTTTATAGAAAAAGCTTGTGCAAATCTGTTAAGTTATTGATACCAAAAAAGTCGTTTCTTTTCCGTGGCTTATTGTCATTTCCATCTAATTATCGCTTTATACTAATACTATCTGTCGCCCCCGACTTCGTATGCGTTTGATTAAAAAAAACTTAATAAGGCCTACGTATTCTTCCAGACTATGATCTACATCTATACCAAATGTCAATAAGATCCGTTCAGCCGTTTCAGAGATACCTTCAAACAAACATCCATCCATCCATCTATCTATCTAAACTTTCGCATTTATGATATTAGTAAGATTATAAAAGTTATGAATAAAATCAACTCACCTGACATATTCGAAATCCGAAACAAACAAATACAATTTGTGTGTTTTGTTTAACACTTTCACTTAGATCGGAAACCACGTGCTAACTTTGACAAATAACAATCCTAATTTAAAAATATTGACGTTATTGTCCTTTGTGTAATGCGGATGGAACTTGCACCGTTGCCACGTTACGTCTCTATGCGACATTTTACTTTATTATAATAATAATAAAATAATATCTTTATTTTTGTTACAAGGCGTAACTGACAGCAGTTGCTTAGCAACCAAATATGATGCGTCTTTGTTGCTAGAAACTAAAAGCGGTAAACGAAATATGAATGCTATCATTATGCCTAGAGTCTAACGTTTTCACAATGTATACAATTTTTGGTATATTTGTGTGTGTGTGAATAAAAATTCTATTTCTTCTATTAATAATGTATGGATTGAAATATATTTTTTAATTACATTTTACAAATTATGACAACGAAAATATCTTCGTGAGCCTTCCTAAAGAACTGCTTGTTGGTTTAAAAAATATTGGGCGATATACCGTGGGTTTCTGGGACCAAAATATCTGTATAAAACATATCTTTATCCTGTGATTATTGTTTTAAACGTCTCAGAAACCCACGGATAGAACCTAAAAAGTAATGAACGGATATAAATAAAACTACACAGTTATACAACATTCCTTTTTATTTCTTATTACGTTTTAATATTTACAAACAGCAATAAAATCCACGGATAAATAGATATAAGGAACACAAAAAAATCAAGAATTAACATTTATTCCAATAACGATGAAGAATCTTAGTTCTGTATTTTAAACAAATAAAATACAATTAAAACTAATTAGGAAAGGCCAAAACCAATATTCGATCGTTGATGATTAAAATTGTTTTTACTTTTTTTTTACGGATCTTTTTTATCGATTGCCATTACGATCTATTTATTAGACATTTTTTAATTTTTAAATAAACGAATTCAATATTTTATAGGCAACATAACGTCTTCTTTGTTTTTACATAAAGATATAGCGATAAAGATATAAGAAATGTACAATAATACACATACATAGAGTATTTAAACATTTAAAGATTCAGAATTATATACACATATATTTCATAGTAGAAGAAAAACTATTAAAAATGCCCACATATGTTGACCAGACATCGAACAGTTATGAATGATTGTAGCTTTTACGCTTCTATTTCTATTTACCACATTTCAAGCTAATATGTAGGATATGGTTTGTTTTTACTCAGAATACTATAGGATACACATTAGGATAACAATTACATACATAGATTTGAAACTTACATTAGAATTTAAGGAACAGCGAGGCCAGCGCATATTCCCTTGAACATTTAAAAAAAACTATCTAAAATGTATAATCATAGGTCAAAGATTAAACTTCCGAAAAAGACTAGAAAAAAATTTTGTAATTAAAAAACAAAAATAGTGACGGACAATGGACAGAGATGGATTTTAGGGAAGGAAAGATATTTGGAAATATAAAAAAAATTATAAAAAAATAACTATGTGTTTTAAATGCAATTGGTAAAATAATTTGGACTAGTACGTATTCGTAACTAAATAAATTAGAGATTCATTTGACACGTCATAATTAGATATGGTATATTGTGTGATTTAAAGGGACAACTACTAAATTGATATAAATTATTCAACAACAGTCAATACGTATTCATTTCCGTACAAAATTTCTCGCGATTACAACAAATTCATATTGCCGTTCACTTAAATTTAACAACAATGATAAAAAATCTTTTATCTTATGGCGGATCATATGACTATGCTTGATCTGCGTCGGTGTAATGCGATGGACCTTCTCCAGAGCAAACGGAATCTTCTGGAGTTCTAGAAGCATCGCCCGCCTCGCTCGCCTCCGCCATACTAGCGCTCGCGCCCGGTTTATTCTTGCATCCACGTCGCGCTTGCAGAGCCTATGGATAAGGCAATTTAAATGATTTTAAGATATTATTTATTAACTAAATAAAAAGGCCACACTCACTTATAGTTTAACCGGGTTTCAACTCCATCCTATACATGAGTGTAGCCGTTTTTAATTGCTTTTTGATATACCGAATGTTTATTATTTTAAAAAGAAATATCGCCATGACGTTAAGGCATTTTTTTAAATTGTATCATGAAAAAAGTGGTCATAGTTAAGAAATTGCGTTTTTCTTTGAATGTTTTAACTACGTCATATTTTACAGACTTAACAAGGATGAAAGCAAGTGTATTAAAACAAATAGCTGACGATACATTGTATAAAACATAAGAGCAGAAACATAAAATGTCATATTCAGTATAAATGATTTAAAAAGTTTGTTCCGGTCCGTATTTTTTTCACAACAAAGTAACAAGGAAAGCATACAAAGGCAGGGGTAGATAGGGCAGTGCTGAGCAAGTCGGTGCTTCGCCGGGAGGGTATGTTGGGGCATGCGGGGCCACATTTCTTCACATGCGGTACATTTATACCTTCCTTACCTTTTCGCGGCTGCCTTTTTTCTAAAGTCGGAGAAGGATGGAATATGAAACATTTGATTAATGGAAATGAAAATTAACACCGATATAAAGGGGTCGAGTATATATTGATTAATTTACTTTCATCCCGAACAGATAAAGATAATGGAAATGGTCTATTCCTAAATTATTTTACGAAGGGTTAAATGCACTAGTTAACGTTATACAATTAATAAGACGTTGTATTTTTGGATCAGGAGACGAAATAGATTGGATAGCTACAAAATGGGACAACAATTTTTTGGTACATCACAGATACGTTTACAAAAAGAATGACATTAGATTATGCATTAAGATATTTTGATATATTTATTTTGCGTTTATGCTGGTTTTACCACATATAGAGCTTTTTATGTATTATATAATAGTAATTGTTAAGTAACATAATATTCCCTTATTTAAGTATGTACTTATCTACCTTATAAGCGTGTTTAATTTACACATTTGCTTTTGCTTCATCAGTGATAAATGTGTATCGTAATGATATATACAATAAGTGAGGCTACTTATACATAACACTCTTCTGTTCCTCATTTTACATACGTAGCAAAATTGTCGCAATATCAGAGTCGTTTAATTTTCCCTTTCCTGTTAGTATCCTCATACATACCTGCAGCGAAAAGCGCCTGTGCGGTGGTTTCCTGCCGCCGCGGCGCCGACTGATGTGCGGGTTGTCGCAGCGCAGCGTCTTGTTGCGCAGGATCTCCAGCTGCACGTACAGCCGCTTCAGTTCCGCGCGCACCTCCTCCGACGTCGGCTCCTCCTCGCCCTCAGCGCCGAAACCCTCCGCCGGTCCGCGCCGCGACACCTGCAACACAGTATGTTCACGAACGTGCATTTTTTGAAAAATTCGTCAACAGAAAATTCACTGTTGTTCAATACAACTACTAATACGAGTTTAGAAAAATGAAATTAGGCGTACTACTACTTTGGAATCGAACCATACTTTTGTTGCCTTAATAAACGATTTATTATTTATTACTTGCCTCTTGCGCCAATGACCTAGTGCGGTAGCCGTGCCAGAGCCGGGGCGCGAGGACACAGGCGAGCGCAGTGCCGGCGGAGAGATGCGCGCGCACTGTGGCGGCCAGCGCAGATGTCTCCGGTGCGTGGCCCACCATTGCCACCAGCCGCCACGTCGCGCCGCATGCGATCTCCACCCACAGCGCCACCGCCAGCCAAGTGCGCTCCTGTAAATAGATAGGACCAAGTCAAGATTTTTACTAAGTTAGTCTGGATCAACCTTACTATTTTAACTTTTTCAATTTGCTTGTATGTGAACAGAGCTTTCATTATAGTTTCCTGTTGATAAGTTAGACGTAGACAAAGAAGTAAAAATGAAAATGCACTCTTTACGGTTACTAAGTAGATCATATGTTTACCTGGAAGGGAACATTAGCGTTCCTCGCAGCGTGTGCGGTGCGCATGCCGGCGATAAGAAGAAGCAGCTCCGCGGCACCGGTGACGTGATGCCAGGCGGCGCGCACGCAGCCCACCGCGTCCAGCTCGTCCCCAGCGCACGCCGTCGTCGCCGTGAACGCGGCCAGGTAACACGCGCACCCCGCCAACATCGCACCCACCACGCGTAGCACCTTGCAAAATTTGCCAATATTATAAATTTGCAGCAACAAACTAAGTACCTACTACTTAGTTTATTTATTTTATTAGATTACAATAAAAATGGTACCTCGCCATCTTTTGGAGTCCAACGATGCGCCTTCCTGGTACGAAATTCTGCGAGCAGCACCCACAGACGTAGCACTACAGACCCGTAGCACGCTACGAAGCCGAGCTCGCGTAACCACGCGCCTACGATGCAACGCAATCTCGCTTGCGCTATGAACTGCGATGCCGCCTGACAAAAATATTTTTTACAAATTGAGTAAAATTTGTTAATAAAACTCTTAATAATAAGAAGCTACAGCAATGTCCATGATATACTCGGTTACGTAATTATAACAAACTCGCACTTGTGACGCACGAAAAACAAACATAACAACAACAACTACTAGCACTCGAGATAATAATGAAGTGGTAGGAATTTGGTAGATTTCCGCCAAAGATGTCAAGCTATATCTATGTACTTATGTATATTTTGACAATTCTTGCTAAGATATCTGCTCCCTTTGAACGGCCCCCTGAAGTGCTTGCTATTCCTTTTATCATAAACGAGTACTAACTCTATATATTCTGAGCGTTTCAAGTTTCAACTAAATTTATGTTTATTTAATTATTATATGCAATGTATTCTCGGTAGACCAAGGAACATATTGCTTGCATGTAACTATTCTAACAAATATGATCTTTGTACTTACAGAAGCGTACATCAGCATGGCCCCGAAGATAACCACCTCCAGTACTGTCCACATCGCAACCGCCTGCAAAATTAATTAGTTAATGTTTAAAACATATGAGTATATTAAATAAGAGCGACGTGTGTTTAGCATAGTAATAGAGGACAGAGATATCGTATGTATCAGCATTAGTAGGACAACTAAGAATTAGTAACACCAAGATGTAGGTTATACAGTATGTTCGACTACTTACTTTACATTTTCGCTTTTTAAAAATTATTATTCCTATAACGAAGCAAAGCAGTATGCCGGCGAAATTGGCGGGCATCAAGGCCTCGCGGTGTGCTTGTGACTCGCATTCCGCGGGCGCCAGCGCGCACGACACGCAGCTGAGCCTCGCGCCCAACGCTGCGCCGCGCACTCGCCAGCGACCCGCGCGCCAATAACCCGCGCGGCATTCGCACTCATACTAATTTAACAAAAAAATAGTACAATGTACTTTCAAGACAAAAATTAATTAATTTGTGTGTTTAATTATTTAACCTCTAAACGTCGCTCCGACGAACCAAAAACTGGCACGGCTCGGCACTCCGTGGTGGCAGGATCGCAGGGCGGCGGCCCGCCGAGCCACTCGTACATGGTCTCTTCGCATGGCACGGCGTCCAGGCGGCGAAAGATCGCGGCCGCCGCCCGCGCCCCGCCCACGCCTCGCGCTGCCGCCGCGCCACTCCACCAGCTGCCACCGTCCTCCTCGCATGAGAACCACGCGTTGGACCAGATCACGGCGCTCGCGTTCCATGCCGAGGCGAGGCTTCTCCAGAAGAGTTGCAACGCGATGGAATTGTTCTGCTGGAAGATGAAGAGGCGTGGCGGCGGCGGGTCTGCGCGGTAGAGCACACCAAGGTGCAGCTGCGGCGCACCAAGCGCGACGGCGGCGGGCGGTGGTAGCAGCGGAGCTCGTGCAGCCGCGCGGGCCAACGCCGCTGCGCGCGCCTCGTCCGCCGCGCCCGCCTCCACCAGCTCGGCCAGCGCACGAGCCGTCTGCGCAACAGCCGCCTCGTGCTCGCGCACATGCTGACACCATCAATAAAACATCAAAATTCTGCCGTCTTCATTTAATACCCTATTCAAGTGGCTTTTGGTTTCGGACGCAAGAACTTTCGCCAACTTAGATATAATACAATTTAGTACTAAAATACTAAGTGATAACAATTATTATGGAATTTTTTCGTTGTTAGGATGTTGGTGGCAGAGCAAAGGATTACAGTTCCCTAACGAATATTAATTCCATAATTAACTTTCCACTTGATGTAGTTGAACAACCTGGTTTTTCCAATAAATATAAAAGCTTTTAAACTCCCTGGACGTAGAAAAAAATTACTTATTCTAAGGGTCTATGAAACAAACGATTGACGTCCTCTGTTCGGAAGGGGACGCGAGCGAGGGCCGGGCCAGGCTTAAAACTAATTTTCTTCGATTCGGCAAGACGCACGTGCCTTAATTCAACCTTTGCGAAACAGAAACTCTTGTCGACATGCCACTTGAATACATAATATTTTACAAATTTTATACGGTCTCTAAATTAAATTACTTAAGAGCTTAGAACTTATTTTGTCATTAAATATCATTTGATATTTTTTTCTATTTTATGAGTATCTTTAATATGTATGTATAAATACATCTGGGCACTGTATATGTAGCATAGTGCGTACCGGGGGCATGGGCGGCGGGTTGCGCAGCAGCAAGGTGTCGCAGGTGCGCAAGGGCGGAGGCTGCGTGCCGGGCGGCGCGGAAGACGCGGCTGTCGCAGAGGCCGTGAGTGGCGCGGCTGGCGCGGCGGCGCAGGCGCACCACGCCAGCGCCAACGCCGCGCACCGCGCCGCCATCGCTCAGCGCGCGACCCTCCGCCGCTATCCAACAACACATGCATTTACTTCTTAAATACAGTATTAATAGTAAACTAGAAAACATAAATTAATGAATATGTATGTGATGTGTTTACCAATATAATTATCAGCATTGTTGTAAGTTATATAATACGTTGGTGAGATATTATTGCATCTTTATGTAACAAGATAAATTTGAAAAACATCTAGAGATAAAACGGTGATCGATTTAAAAGTTATTTGTAAACTTGTACACAGATATCAATAGCGATATACGAATCTTGAGACTATCTTAGAAAGATAGCCATATCTAGATAGACTGTATATAAACTTGAAACTTTTATGTACTCGTGTCGTTCCATAGAGCTGGAAGATATGTAAAAATGGAAATTTTATACAATATCTTTTTAATGTGAGTAGTTTTTTCAATTATTTCCTAATTTAAACACATTCATTCATGTAACATATTCCTTCAACAGTAGTAAAATAGGGTAGAACAAATACAGAACATAATCTCGACTATGCATGAGATATTTTTACCCTTTTTTAATTCTGCACAGACGGAGTTGCGGGCAAAAGCTAGTAGCAATATAAAAATATTTTCGAGATGATATTGTTTTACATGACTTCCTCTTAATTTTTTTTTTAGTTTTACTATCCTATGCTTCTCAACGTACGAGTGCAAAAGCCATGGCTCGAGACACGATGTAAGGAAATTTCCTGACGGATTTCTTTTTGGAACTGCGACGGCTTCGTACCAAGTAGAAGGAGCGTGGGACGAAGATGGTAAACACATTTTAATATGTATTCTTTAGAATTGATTGTAGTTCATTTCATTGTATTGTAAACTTTGTTTGATTTAGGCAAGGCAGAAAATATCTGGGATCATCTAACTCACAATAACCCTTGCATCATCAAGGATTGTTCCAACGGTGATATTGCCGATGACTCCTATCATCTTTATGAACGAGACGTCGAAATGATGCGAGAATTAGGTCTAGATTTCTATAGATTCTCTCTATCCTGGCCTAGAATTTTACCTACGAGTTTCCCGGACAAGATAAACGAGGCGGGTGTGCAATACTATAATAATCTGATCGATGAAATGCTGAAGTATAACATCCAACCGATGATAACTCTTTATCATTGGGATCTGCCCCAGAAACTGCAAGAAATGGGTGGTTGGGCCAACCCACATATCGTCGACTGGTTCGGTGACTACGCAAGAACAGTGTTCGAACTTTTCGGTGATAGAGTTAAATATTGGATTACCATAAATGAGCCGTATCAAGTATGTAACCAGGGATATGGTGATGTTGTGAAAGCGCCGGTTCTAAACAGTAAAGGTGTAGCTGAGTACATGTGCGCTAAGAATTTGCTCCTCGCCCACGCTAGAGCATATCATATCTATGACCAAGAGTTCAGACCTAGTCAAGAGGGTGTCATTTTCATCTCATACAGCGCGCAATGGTACGAACCGGAAACTGATAATGATATTGAAGCTGCTAACGACAACAATGACTTCCAGGTAAATAAATAAAATGTGTTGTTACATGTTTTTTTACCTGGTTTATACTAAACTAGATTCGAAGGTTTTTGGTTATTTAATAACCAAATTGAATGTTATTTAAATTAAATTAGATTTTTTAAATCCATATAAAATGGTAACTATTACTACTACATTTTTGTTAATTTGATTTCATTTCTCTAGTGGGGACAGTATACACACCCTGTCTTCTCCGAGACAGGGGACTTCCCTCCATCTATGAGAAGAAAGATAGCTGCCAAGAGCGAAGAACAGGGCTATCCTAGATCCAGATTACCGGAGTTCACTCCTGAGGAAATTGATTATGTACGCGGCAGCTCCGATTACTTCGGTCTCAATCATTACTCTACATTCATAGTTTACAGGAATGAATCTGTTTACGGTCACCATGATGCTCCGTCATTTGCTGATGACTTAGAAGTATTAACATACCAAAAGGCCGAATGGAAGATTGGTCAATCTGAATTTACAAAGGTACTATGTGTTTTAGGATTTTTAATCTTGTAAATTATTAGTGCTGTAGAAATACTAATTAGGATTATTAATACGACTTCGGATAATTTAATAGACACTGTTAATCTCAATGTTCACAGTGCGTACCATGGGGCTTCCAGAAGCTATTGACAAGAATAAAAGAGGAGTACAACAATCCCCCTATTTACATAACTGAGAATGGTTTTGCTACATACGGCGGCCTGGAGGACGATGATCGTGTGACTTACTATAAAGAATACATTAACGCGATGCTTAATGCTATTGAAGAAGGATCTGATATCAGAGCGTACACCGCGTGGAGTCTCATGGACAACTTCGAATGGATGCAGGGTTATACGTAAGTGCAATTTTTAAAATTATGATGATCGTGTTTTAATTCACATATATTTACTAATAGGCCAAATATGACATTCAGAAACGTAAGAAGTTCTTTATATGTTATTAAACGGGGACACTATGTTACCGTATTACGCACATATTTTTTTTTCTTTTCTAGTGAGCGCTTCGGTCTGTACGAGGTGGACTACGAAAGTCCGGAGCGCACGCGTACGCCGCGTAAGTCCGCCTTCATGTACAAGCAGATTCTGCGCACACGCGAGCTCGACATGCACTACGAGCCCGATACTGACGTCATGACCATCGACGAGGGACATTAATTTTAAGCATAAAATAAATTACTTTTAAAAACTACTGTTTCTTTTTTTTAAATAAAAAAACAATGTGTTTCTCTTAAAAACATTATCGTGTATAATAAGCACGAATCTTCAACGCAAAGTGTATATAAAGAAGTATAATAGTTTACCTAAAAAGTCACTGTATTAAACATTTTCTTTAAAAATTTTAATGATATAGTTTTTTTTTTACTTTTTGTAACGGAATATTCTCCTAGAAAATTACACAGAACATTCCTTATTGGTATCAGTTATGATGCTATATTTAATCACTTTTAGTTATCCAAGGTTTTTGTTAAAAAAATCGTATAATTTTATCACTTGATTTTCGGTTCAATATTCGCGAAACAGTATCTGTTATCTATAGATATATATTTCCGTCTTATTACATCTCAACAGCATATATATACTGTACTTATCTATAGCCCGGTATACTTATGTATCAGATTTAACACTTGTGTTAGCTGCTACGATGATATCAAACGTTAGATTATTGTTAGTTTACTTTATTTTTATTTATTATTTTAATTTTACTTATAACTGACATTTTCTATTACATTTTGTTCGTAGTGTGTTTATTTCGCTGCTGGCTTTATCAAGTGCAAGTAACATCAATGTTAGCCGACATGATGTGAGAAAATTCCCAGATTCGTTTGTTTTTGGCGCAGCCACAGCTTCATACCAAATCGAAGGTGGTTGGGATGAAGATGGTATGATTATGTTTATTTTTACTCTTCTTATTAATAAAAAGCCCATGGTGCATAATTGTATTGATCTGTACATTGTAAGATTTTTTATTATTTATAGGCAAGGCTGAAAATATTTGGGATCGTTTAACACATACTGATCCGTGCTCCATAGCGGATTGTTCTAACGGAGACGTTGCTGATGACTCCTACCATTTATATAAACGCGACGTCGAGATGATGCGCGAACTGGGACTCGATTTCTACAGATTCTCTTTATCGTGGTCACGAATCCTACCGACCAGCTTCCCGGATAAAATAAACGAGGCTGGGATACAGTACTACAACAATTTGATTGATGAAATGCTTAAATATAACATCGAACCGATGATTACATTGTACCACTGGGATTTACCACAGAAATTGCAAGAAATGGGCGGCTGGACCAACCCATACATTGTCGACTGGTTTGCTGATTACGCTCGTGTTGCATTTGAAAGTTTTGGCGATAGAGTCAAATACTGGATAACTATGAACGAACCTCGAGAAGTTTGCTACCAGGGCTACGGGACCGTAACGAAAGCACCACGTCTTAACATTCAAGGCATGGCTGAATACATGTGCGCTAAAAACTTGTTAATGGCTCATGCCAAGGCTTACCACATCTATAATGAGGAGTACCGACCATCGCAAAATGGAGTTATTGGGATAACATTAAGTGCTCAATGGTACTATCCGGAAACGGACGCTGATGTCGAAGCGGCTGCAGAAGTTATCGAGTTCGAGGTAATTGACTTTAACTTTACAACTTTGAACTTTATATTTTTGTTGCTTATTTGTAATGGTACGAGGTTTATTCGTTGCTAATATTTTTATTTGTTCAAACTACACTTTAGTTGCTTTTTACCAAGCAACGTCACAAATCTTGTCAACCTACGAATGAAATGATGTGTCTTATAACGTTTTAAAAAAAAAGATGAAAATAATATTACTTTTACAGTGGGGACAATACGCGCATCCTATTTTTTCGGAAGCTGGCGACTTCCCACCAGTTATGAGGGAGAGGATTGGAGCTAAAAGTACAGAGCAAGGCTTTCCAAGGTCGAGATTGCCGGAGTTCACGCCTGAAGAAATTGATTACGTCCGAGGAAGTTCCGACTTCTTTGGTTTGAACCACTACAGCACGTACATTGTTTACAGGAACGAATCTCTAAACAATTATCATAATGTTCCCTCTTACTATGACGATATGAACGCTGCTCCTTATCAGTCCAGTGAGTGGGAGCACGGCGCATCAAGTTTTCTTAAGGTTAGTTTGTATATTGAGTTCTTATTGTGTTTTAAAAAGTGTTCCTAGTACCCCAGTAGCAATTGTATAGAAGGGGCCTTTCAATATTGCATTCAAAATAATTTCATAATATCACATCGAGCCCTTAGAGGATTCTCTAAGATTAAGGCGTATGTTGTTTTTCAGGTGGTGCCTGATGGTTTCTACAGATTACTAACAGATATCAGAGAGAAATACAATAACCCACCGGTGTATATCACTGAGAATGGGTACTCAAGTTACGGCGGTTTGATCGATGACGATAGAATTGCGTATTATAGAAAGTATTTGAGTGCTATGCTGGATGCTATGGATGAAGGCTCTGACATCAAAGGCTACGCCGCCTGGAGTATTATGGACAACTTTGAGTGGATGCAAGGTTATACGTAAGTGTTATTATGAGTTTCATTTTGTTATTAAATACCGAAAAAAAGATGCCTTAAAGATTTTTCTAATAGAGATGGATATGACTATACTATACTTTCTATTGTTCCTTATCTCTCAGTTATTAACAAAAAGAACAAAATATTGCAAATATGTAAATTCAATACAAAATATGTAGTAAATTAAAAAGTAAATTTGTTTCTTTGTTTTACTAATATAGGTCAATAATGTTTTACTTTTTATTCCTAGTGAGCGCTTTGGTCTGTACGAGGTGGACTACGAGAGTCCGGAGCGCACGCGTACGCCGCGCAAGTCCGCCTTCGTGTACAAGCAGATTCTGCGCACGCGCGTGCTCGATATGCACTACGAGCCCGACACTGACGTCATGACCATCGACGAGGGACATTAGAAATTATACAACGAACATTAGACATTGTAAAATTTAAATTACGTTGTGGTGAATATTATAAATCGGGTATGAGTTGCTATGTGAAATATCCGATAAATAAAAGTCAAATCCTATTAAATAACTTTTTATTTAATAACATACGTATTATGTACCCTACCCTATCAAGATTTTATGGAACATATCATTTGGCTTAAGAATGCATAAGGCAGATATGCCAAGAGTTAAGAAAATCATGATAAAAAGAAAATTTAATTTCTAAACTAAGACTTTTGATGTCTACGAATTAGAAATTTGTGCTTTTAACAGTTCGTATTTTGTATTTCTCATATCAAATTATGCCTAATATTTTTGTGGTAATTTATTACTATTGTTCCTTAAATCTGTAATAAAGCTGAAATTGTATTATTCAGTTAAGTCTAATTAAATTTCTAAAATGTAATTTTAAAACAAACAAAAGCGGCGCTCTGCACTCCTCAAAACAAGCTTAATGAGCTCTTAGCGAAACAATTTGGCTTGGCGTTGTCGAAATGAATATTCAAAGATGAAAGGGTAAATAATACGTATAAATAACTACATGAGAAAATAAGACGTTGTTTTTTGCTAAGCGCGATCTTTTGCACTATTTATTGATCAGGATTTAAATTATTTAGATGCGTAAATTCTACGTCGTTTTACGTAGGTGATCAACGACACCAATGGACAGCCACAACAAGGAATTGACATGATTCTCTTGCCTCACCAAGGAGACTGATATCGCCCCGCAAGGCCATAGAATCAAGCCGATCAGTAAAGGCTCGGTCGTTGACGATTCCAGTAACTCTGTGTTGTATGCGGTCAAATGGAAGAAGCTGGTATTGGGGTGGATATGTAATTGCCTATAGAGCTAATACGATTAAGCCGCCGAGATTAACTATTTAAAATATTGTCAAGTAAATCGGGCGCAGGTTTTCAATCAATCAATTTTTGACATGCAGAAAAAAATATGACGACCCGTTTGAATCTTTACTTAGGTTAGGTTTCAAGGTCATGAACCCCCACGTTGAATGTAAACTTGTATTGTTTTTCAAACTTAGTGATAACGTTCGATAAGAGACCGTAACATATCTTCTCGAAAACAAGATAAAGCTCCAGCTACTCTCGAATTCACGCGTGCAAAAAAATAAAAATCTAATAATTATTTAAAAGATAAATACAACGTTTACAAAGATATGAATTAAAAATGTCGAGAACAGTAAACTAAGTTGAAATTTGCAATTCAATATCAAATTTCCATTCATTGGTAGTTAATAAGATAGATTTATCCATTTCTAAAACGTTTAATGCTAAATTATTTACTCTTTTATATTTCGTATATCCTTTATTAAAATAAATTATGTGTATATTTAGGGATAAATGTAATAAACATATACCTCCAGTTATGAATATGTTTTATTTTTCATTAAAGAGTAATAAAATGAAAAGACATGTTTTACTTTATACTAGCTGTTACCCGCGACCCCGTCTGCGTGGAATAAAAAAACTTATTATAATTATTAACCTATGTGATCTTCCAGACTATAATCTACACCTGAAATTCCAAATTTCGGCGAGATCCATGTAGTCCTTAAGGAGTAGGTATCCCTACTAACATCTATTCGCATTTATATAATTAGCAAGAAGTAAGACTTAAAGGAAAACATCCATATTAATATTGACGCTGCTCTTAAACTTAACTGCATCCTAATAACTATAAAAACTATTCAATTAAATAGGAAGTAAAATTTAATAAAATTATTTTTTCATATACTGCTCTAAATTTCAGTCAACTTTCATGACATTAAATTCAGTGCCAAAGATATGAAGCTGATCCTTGAATACATAAAGTTATATAAATTTGTGAAAATACATTAACGTGTCAAGATAAGGGTTAAGGGTAATGATAAGGCTGTCAATGAAACATTGCTATAGCGTTATAAATAAGGCTTGCAAACGTTAAAGAGGAAAGTTACATGATGTGGGCGAGGTGGCCTATGTTGTGAGTGCTTACTTTACTTATAATAAGAAAAATTAAAGTAAATTCAACAAACCAAACAACTCACTGAATATTAAAATACATAGCTGGTCTCGTTAATTTTTCCTGGCGTATTTTAATGGCAACTTGTAGTCAAACCTTTAGACATCAAAACATTTAGGAAGCAGACAACGTTAGAAACTTTAAGTTCCTTATTAACGAATCTCTATTAATTTACAGTTTGTTCGTATGTTCGTCGATTGTAATAGGCGAGTGTAAAATTATAAATAATGTTCGACACGAAGTAAGAAAATTCCCCGAAGACTTTCTTTTCGGCACCGCCACTGCGTCATACCAAGTAGAAGGAGCTTGGGATAAAGATGGTAAGAAAAAAAGCTTGATTGTTTCTTCACGAATAATGAAAATTAAGTAGAATATTTTTTGTGCTTAACTTTTTTATTAATTTTTTCTTAATCTAGGATAAACGTTAATACACAAATATTATGGAAATTAAAAAACACCTCGTGGTATAAAATTAATAAGTATTTAAATATACTAAAACGATTTCAGGAAAAACCGAAAATATATGGGATCACGTAACTCATACAAATCCATGCGTTGTAAAGGATTGTTCAAACGGTGATATTGCAGATGATTCATATCACCAATATAAGAGAGATGTAGAGATGATGCGGGAGCTGGGTTTAGACTTCTACAGATTCTCACTATCATGGACCAGAATTTTACCAACCAGTTTTCCAGACAAAATAAACGAAGCAGGAGTTCAGTATTACAATAATTTGATTGATGAAATGTTAAAGTACAATATCAAACCAATGATTACACTATTCCATTGGGATTTACCGCAAAAATTGCAGGAGATGGGTGGATGGACGAACCCTGAAATAGTAAACTGGTTTGCAGATTACGCTAGGATTGCTTTCGAATTATTTGGCGATAGGGTTACAGATTGGATCACAATTAACGAACCTCATCAAGTGTGCTACCATGGCTATGGAGACGACTCTTTGGCTCCTCTTCTCAACATCAAGGGTGTGGCTGATTATTTATGTGCCAAAAACTTATTGCTTGCTCATGCTAAGGCTTATCACATCTATGATAAAGAGTTTCGCTCTTTGAATGGTGGTAAAATTTTCATAGCATTAAGCGCACAGTGGTACGATGCGGAATATGAAGAATTTGTAGATGCTGCCAAAGAAGCTAATGATTTCACGGTAGGTAATCTTACTTCATATATTATACAACTTACAAATTGATTAAACTAACTGAACGGGGTAAGAAATATGAACATGTGCATATTAAATTTATCTATATTTTTAGTGGGCAATATATTCACATCCAATCTTTTCGGAAACTGGTGATTTCCCGCCTGTTCTTAAAGAGTACGTCGCTCAAAAGAGTGCGGAACAAGGTTTCTATAGATCGAGGCTGCCTGAATTTACAGAAGAAGAAATTGATTATGTCCGTGGCACATCAGATTACTTTGGTCTCAACCATTACTTAACCTACTATGTTTATCGCAATGAATCCGTAGTTAATTATTATGAATCACCATCGTTTGAAGAAGACATGGGAGTAATTACGTATTTCTACGATGAATGGAAGATTGGTGAATCAAATTACACAAAGGTTAGTGTTTCAAAATTTGTCTTCCAAATACTTTCGTATTAGTTGTTTCTTTTAATTAAATTTTATTTTCACAGTTTGTACCTTGGGGATTTTATAAGCTACTGACAAGAATACGCGAGGATTATGGCAATCCACCAGTTATTATTACGGAAAATGGATTTGCTACACGTGGAGGCTTGAATGACGAGGACCGCATCACCTACTATAGACATTACATCAGCGCTATGCTAGACGCCATGGAGGAAGGATCCGATGTCCGAGCGTACACAGCATGGAGTCTTATGGATAACTTTGAATGGCTTGCTGGATATACGTACGTATAAGTTATCTTTTCTCTAGATAACAACAAATAACATCACACTCCAATAAATTTTTCGTTACGATTCTGAACTTGTTATTTACGATAATTTAAAGGTTTAAAAATCAATAATGGTAACCTTTCCATTGACAGGGAGCGTTTCGGGCTATACCAGGTGGACTACGAGAGTCCGGAGCGCACGCGCACGCCGCGCAAGTCCGCCTTCGTGTACAAGCAGATTCTGCGTACGCGCGAGCTCGACATGCACTACGAGCCCGATACTGACGTCATGACCATCGACGAAGGACACTAATTTATTTGCTTCTGCACGAATAAAACATAAGATACAATGGCTGTCTTTTTATTACATTAAACTAAATTAAGCTAAACAGGCACCAAACTAAAATACCTTCAAATCGCTTCATGATATTCACTTCAATAACTAGCATAAATAAGACATTCTATTTAAAAAAAATGAATACAAAAAAGATGTTCTAATTAAAAAAAAAATTGGGGAAGATAAATTGTTTTATGAGAAAATCGAGCAATAAATCTCCCAGTTGAACAATTGTTTTTTCTATTTTATTTCTGATAAGTATTTATAATCTTGGCCTTTATTTTGAATGTCACGCCCGCTTAGTGTTTACATTGAAAACTAATTATTCATGTATATCATTTAGATTCTATATCATATATTCGAATATATCTTTATTTAAAATAAAAGAACAAATGTTATGTTGATTAGTTATGTAGGTTACACTCATTTAAATTTTTGTGCTATTTTAATAATAAAACAATAATGTATGTGTATTTTTTGTATATTAAGTATAATAAAAGTAGTCCCTATTTACCGGAACCGGAGTCAAAGAGACGAGAAGGGATTTCATAGAGAAAAAAAACGCTGAGGCTTAATAACAAAGTCAACAAATATGGATATATGTTTTTTAATCAATAATAATGTTTGTATATTAACAATAATTTCGACTACGAGTACCTATTAACCCCTAATTCTATTCACCCGCATATTATACACGTTATTCATACACGTTGTCTCTTCACAAT